TTGGAAACCAACAGCTGGAGAATGTGGAGCACTTCAAGTACTTGGGAAGCATAATCACGACGGATGCTCTATGCACCAAGGAGGTAAAAGCAAGGATAGCCATGGCCAAGTCAGCCTTCATCAAGAAGAGGATACTTCTCACTAGCAAGTTGAGCTTGGAGATGAAGAAGAAACTAGTGAAGTGTTACGTATGGAGTGTCGCGCTGTATGGAGCAGAGACTTGGACACTCAGGAAGAAGGAACAAAAATACCTGGATAGTTTTGAAATGTGGTGTTGGAGAAGAATAGAGAAGATCAGGTAGACGGATCGAGTGACCAACAAAGAAGTATTGAGGAGAGTCAACGAGCAAAGAAACATTCTGCAGGAGATTACACGAAGGAAAGCTAACTGGCTGGGACATATTATGAGAAGGAATGGATTACTGAGTGATATCATCGAAGGCCAGGTTGAAGGAAAGCGAGGACTGGGAAGAAGACTGATACAGCTAACTGACGATCTTAAACAAGGAAAGAAGATGAAGTTTCATGAATTAAAACGAGAAGCTGAGAATAGGGAAAACTGGCGAACTCTTTTTGGGCAGAACAACGGACCTGTCGTCAGACAGAACACTAAATAATAGTGGCATAGAGTAATATGCCAAATACAGCACTTCAGGACATACTGTTTTCTTCTTTATTACAGCTCAATAATCTCTACCCTTAACAGATGACAATGTAAGATCTTAAGTTTACACAATGACTGAATGCAATGAAATCTTCTCAGGTTATCAGCCATGTAATTATGGAGAAACAAGTCCAAAATTTCATTGACTGTCTCTGCTTCTATCATGAGGGTATTACTTGTTGAGTCAGACAAGAGCTGTGAGATGTGCATGAGGGATGGTAAGGACGCTGCTAGTGGTAGTGGGGCACATCGGACAACAGCTTTCTCCGTACTACTAAACACAAAAACATGAGTGCAGATTGAAATACCTCCAGTGGCTGATGAACATTTTACAAAGCTTCTATTCCACTTACTTCCCCATCATCTTCTTCTGCAAATTCTTCCTCCCCCTCCTCTTCCTCACTACTGCTACAACTACTCGCATCACTGACGTTTTGTAAGTTAACTATAATTTGTTCTGAAATGGTGTCAATAATAGGTTCCAACCGCAAATAATTCTGTTCGCACTGACGGGAATTGTTGCACCTCGAGCTCCTCCATTCTTCCTTTGTGATGATACTAAACTTTTCCTCAGTCAGTTTCATAGCATCATCTAAACGGAAACTGACATTCTTTCCAGCGATATATTCGAACCGACCTCCACATCAGTTCAATCGAATTAAGATCTGGGTGATATGGCGGCAAGCGAAGGACAGAGTGGCCATGTTCAGCCAGTAGAGCATCAATTTTGAATGTTTTGAAGCGTGGCTTATGCAGTTTAATTAGAGAATACAATTTGGGCTTACACATTCGGTCACTGAAAGGAATGCCACGATCTGAGAGCCAGTCTATCATAGCACTTTTTCAAGATGAAGTTGGAGCCGGATTGAGTTGTACATTATGGTAAGCTGCATTGTCCACTACTAATATCGAATTTGGTGGAAGGTTTGGAATTAACTTTGTTTTGAGCCATCTTTCACAGTTATCAAAATTGTGAAAATGACAGGCCTAATTATAAATAGGAAAATGTTATTGAAATGGAATTCAACACACAAAGTGAACATGGTCACAGTTCACTCGTAACTGAGCTCCGCTTACACCCCGCCCATTGTTCGACCTGCAAATACACTGCACATCTCGAGGCCATAGCTCATGTCCCAGCAAACGTCGATTAGATGAAATGAGTTGTACTACTGCTTGTTGTCTCTGTATCCATGATATCTGTGGATGACTAAGTACTAATTATGAAATGAAATCTGCCATAAAGTTTTCCACAGAGACATGGAGTTTGAACATAGTATGGGAATCACTGGTCTCTATAAATATGTTCTGTCTTGCAGGGATTTTTAGTTTTACTTTTATGTGGGTTTTCATTCAGTTTACAGATGTTTTAATGTATATTGCATCTTTTGTCATTCTTCAGATGAGGCCTATAATTACACATTGTTTCGTTTAGTTTTTTTTTTTTATTTATTTTTGACTCCATAGGATTAACTCTTTCCAAACCCATATAATTTAACAAAGAATTCTCTCAAAATTATGTAAGATGATGGCACTGATACTTACACTGATATATAATTAACCACAATGTTACATTGCCACATGTGAATTGGTACTGTGTACCTGAAATATTGATAAAGGAGTACAGTGCAACTTAATTATACCTCAGTTTCTGTCAGAAATCATACTGCTCTGACTTCAAAGAAAAGAAAGGGAAATATAATGACACCCTGTGGTGAAAAAATTGTAAATTTTAAAATGATGCCCTAACCACCTTTTGCATGTTAACACTGTTTATTAGTTCAGAACACTACAAGTTGACAGGCACCTGCAAAGCTACAAAATACAATCACCATGTGGTCACACTACATTTCACACTTAAAATAAAATAAGAGCTGTAATAACAAGGAGGTAGGTGATATGTGACATGGCATTTGCTTGCACAGTCCTTATAAGCAACAGCATAGCTATGCAGATAAGGACACTACACTTCCAAATAACCATCAGAAACCAACAAGAGAAAAGGAATTCCATTCATGTACCAAGACTGGTATCTTCTCCTACAACTGCATAAATGACAACTGCCCCTTATCCTCTGAAAACTGAAACAGTTACATAATTCAAAATGAGAATATTAAACATCTTTTAAAGACATAGATCACCTCACAATAATACATACAACAAATTTTGTTTTACTTTTATCAGAATACATTCTTTGGTTAATGCAAAGGCTGGCTGGTGTCTTCTGATGTTAGATGTGCATAGTATAACAGACTGAACAGTCATTTTGTACACAGTATTTCAGTTGGTACTGAATGTTTGTGGTTCACTGAATTATACTGTTAAATGGAAGGGCACTGCAGACCATTTTTTTCAAGTTCATGCTAAGTAAAATATATCTTCCTTTTTTTTTTAGTTTTATACTTTCCAAACACTAAAAAAAAATTACAGGAATCAAACATGAGAGTCAATTAGTAATACCTATTTTAACTCTCCATAAGTCATTACACTATGCAACTGATAGTTGCAATGTGTGTAATACTCGATCATTTATATTATTTTTGCATGGTTGCAGTTTGATCTGGCTAATGGTAGTAAAGCAGCACTACATTACAAAATGACAAGTTGGCAAGAGATTAAAACAATATACAGCAACTGAATTCTTAGGTGCTCAATGTGAGAGACCAATTTGTTTACACAATATTTTAATTTCCTATCTAACTCTATCACATTTAATTTTACTTTCCGACTGCATTTTGTCATTAACATAAAATCCATACCAAAACATGTAAGACTTGAGGTTCTCACAGCGCTCTCTAAATATAACCCTGCAGAAAGAAATACCATACTGATATATGGAAAATAAGCAAAGCTTCATTATGCATAGTTTATAGGTCACACAATGCATCAACTTACAGCATAAATCTCTGTTCACATCCCTCCTCACTACTTTTCATCTGATGAATATCTATAATGAGCTATTTCTTAAATACAATGTATGTTTATACCCTGCAATAAAACTGTGTTAACTGCCAAAAGATGTATTTTACTGACACTTTAAAATCCTCACTGACTTCTGGGTGAGAAGTTATACTTCTCAACAGCGCCAGTTTTTCCAGAAACTATATTATTACCCAATTGCAATTCAGGACAGACAGACTGGCGCAATGTCTCTTATTCATTTTATGCACTTCATGCAAAGGACATAAAAAGTTAGAACAGACCTACAAGTATTTTTACACTGCATAAATATTGGATCAAAAAAAAGTTCTCAAAGAAGTTATTTAACAGATGCACTTTTCTTTATGGCATTTAAGTTTTATTTGTAGCATACTGAATCAAGGCAGCATCAAGGTTTTTGATAAGAGATCAGTATCTTTGTGGAATATTAGTATGTTAACCACACAATTTGGTAATACAGTATATACTTCATCCCTACACAGATTATTCACTTTCTGGATTATATGGAGTATGAGCCAAGGTAGCCCTGACTACAAACTGGTCCCAGGCAGGGGCAAAGGACTTTTCCTGGCCTCTGCATCCAATGAGTACCAGGGGTAAAGCACAGCCAAAGCATGATGCTGATCACATACCCATATATAGTGTTGAGGTCTAGAATGAGTAGGGGCTACACCTCCATGGCATGTAGCAGGACAACTTCACTTTAGTATATGGAATACATTTTTAAAATGTATTTTTCTATTGTATTTTGATTCTCCTATTCTTATGACCATCAAAATTGTGATTATAATAGTAATATAAGTAATTCATGGTGCAACATGCATGAGTAAAAAAGAGTTAATTCTTTTATTCTCCAAGTGGATTACTTGTGCTTCCTCTTACCTCCATTAGCCTAGATATTTAAAAGTATAATGGACCATACATAATGGAAACACTATCACAACCCAAAACATAGCTATGCCATTGCTAAACTGTATTATTTATATGTCAATTCCACACACATAAGCCATGCCACTTTTAAGTACAACACTAGCAATCAACGCAATGAGGCCAATGTATTGAGGAGCTGCATGTCATGGTAGAATTCTAACACTACGTCTTGCCTTACTTCTTGTGGAATTCCACAAGACAAAGTCTGCAGCTCCAGGAACCCTCTGGAGGTGAAGAAAGTGGTGGAGACAAGCAATACATATGGTAGCCACGATCACAGTCATCACAGAAGAGCAACTGATCCTGTTGGAAAAATTCAAAACCTCAAGAGTATGAGCTCTTCATAACATACAAATTTAGGAAAATTATGAGCTGTAATATAACATTAGTTCCTAGTATTAATCCTTTAAGCCTTTGAGGATGGTCAATTAATCTCACATCTCATAAAGACATTGTGGAAAACCTTGAGATGACAGTACATCATGAAACATTTTGAAGCACAAAAGACTGGTAAGCTGTCACTGAAAGCAGTGGTGTGTGCACTTTTAAAAACATAAAATATAGGTTTAGAGTTGAGCACAGACCTTTGTACATATACAAAGTCAGAGTTCCATGTTTTGGACTAAAACGCTATGTAATTTGCCTTGAATAAAAGTTTACAAACAGGAGTAGGGAGGGGAACTTATAAACATTTCTTCATGATCATTACTTGTATACTAATAAAGCAAATAAGTAAAGAAGATTTCTGTCTTCTGGCTTATTGCGGTGTGTAGTATGGTAGATGTTTACCGTTTCAGAGGTCATACTGCCTCCGTCATCAGGGTATCTACCATACTACACGGTGCAACAACCCAGAAGACAGAAATCTTCATACTCACCACTGTGAAAACCTCAAATCATACAAACAAGTAATGTTTAAAATAGACACACAAATAAACTAGGAGCAAGATCAAAGCCTTATCTAGTAAGCTATGTCATTACATTATGAGTAAGTGTCATGCAAGCAAGAATGGGGAAACTGAGACATTGCACAGGTCAAAACCAGAGTACTGAAGTTGCAGCAAATGGTATGCAAATCAGTATAGCTTGCTGAGGCTGTTGTTAGGTTAGGTTGATGAGTATGCATACATGTTTTCTCAATTTGCTTTGGAACATTGTTCCTTCCGCCATGAAATTCGATGTGTAACTAAATCCTACATTTTAGGGAAACGTGTCACTGAAGGAGGTAAAGTGAAAATTACCACAAAAGAATTCCTATTTTTAATTGAAAATGTGCAACTTAATATATTATTAATTTAAATTCTGTAAGTGCTTGCTACTTCTCAGTTCAAAATATTTTGTCTTTCCGTCTGATTTCTAAGAACCTGAAAATTAAAGTATACAAAACAATAATTTTGCCTGTTGTTTTGTATGGGTGCGAAACATGGTCTCTCACTCAGAGGGAGGAACGCAGATTGCAGGTGTTTGAGGATAGGGTGTTGAGGAGGATATTTGGGCCTAGGAGAGAAGACGATGGGGCATGGAGAAAACTGCATAATGATGAGCTTCAAAATCTGTACTCCTCCGCCAATATTGTCAGGGTGATTAAGTAGAGAAGAATGAGATGGGCGGGGCATGTAGCGCGCATGGACGGGACAAGAGGTGTGCACCAAGTATTGGTTGGGAAGCCTGAGGGGAAGATACCTCTGGGGAGACCTAGACGTAGATGGGAGGATAATCTCAGGCGGGATCTATGGGAGATAGGAGTTGAACGAGACTGGATTTTGTTGGCCTAGGACAGGGGTCCGGTGGAGGGCTTTGGTTAATTCGGTGATGAACCTTCGGGTTCAGTAAGCCATCTAGTTAGTTAGTATGCATAATTATGTTAAGGAAATTCTTTAACATGCCTTTTGTCTACTTTGCATGGGGAGGAAAAACTAGGCACAATGCAATTATGGAATAGGAATAACAGTAAAGAAGAAGATTTCCTATGAAAACTTGAACCTACAGAACTCATTCTGCATTGATGAAAAAAGTTAATTTCACAGCCCTGCCAGATCTTCCACTTACATCATTATCTGAAGTGCCACAGATGGAGCAACACTTGCACTCGATGCACTGCCACCGGTACTTACGTACCGAAATGATCATGTTGGGTGTAAACTGCAGACAAGATGGGTGGCCTGCAACCAGCACAACAAATTATTTTATCACAATACAAGTTCTTGCAAGGACAATGAGGAAGGAAATGGGACAGGGGAGCAAAACCTCATCATTATCTGAAGAAGAGTATGGTGCACATTCTGAAGTCTCAAGATTTCTTTAACAGAACAAATTATAGTTATCTTCATCCTACTTTCAATGTATGTTTAATGAATATGGCTCAAAGGCTTGCAGTCCTGTTAATTTTAGCACCACACTCCTGTTAATAATAATGCAACTTATAGGCTTGGGATGAATTTACATTTGTTAATAATTCTCTTTGATAATAATCATAATTCTTACAAATGGAAAAAATATATCATTTTCTACAGCCCCATTGATAACGTACACAACACTGTTTGAGAAACACAGTCTGTCTCATCCAAAATTCTGAAGACAAATTCTGGTCCACTTGACTAAAATGAACAAATTTAAAAGTAATGAAAAATGTGAAAAAAAGGGTCTGTCAAATTCAATCTACCTTCTGTGAAATCAAACATGAGTCCAATGACAGGCTGATTTGACAATTTTAAAATCCAAAGAAAATAAAATCTCTCTGGGCGGGGAGGGGGGTGCCATGTTACAACAAATGGACCTCAATGTTCTTTCAAATATGATTATTTTATAATAATTATGCAAACAGAAATCACAAAAACTTTTGAAGGCATTTTGTTACCTGTAGCTATTGGATTTTACAAAAAATAATAACTTTACTGAATAAAACAAAGGCATTATGGAATTATATACATGAAATTATAATTACTACACATTATTTGTATGCATATATATTAGCAAGTAATAAAATGCATATTTGTTCCTAAGAAATTATACAGACAGTTCAAACATAAAACTGATTCAGTTATAAATAAATTTTAGTATTTTAATTTAGCATGTATATTTATTCCAAGCCGAAGTTTAATCACAACCAACACAGCAGCATGTGGCTGATGTGTGAATGAAAAGGTTTCACTCTGTCAGATTGTGCCGAAGAACAGTGAATTTCCAGGAGCTTGTTCCATCTCTGACTGTCAAAATACATGAACCAATTTACAACTATGGCTTGCATTTTGTTGAAGAACAGCACAAGTGCCACTTCACCGGTCCTCGGCACACAAAGAAAAACCAAAAACTTCACAAATTATTCTTTCAGTTTCAAAAAGTTTATTGTGTCCAATATTTTTGGTTATTTTTCCTTCTCTTCACTTCATATTATAAGTGTGGATGGAGGACAAATGTACTGTTCATTTGCTTACAAAACAAGAGGTACACATACATAAATATCTTTGACAGCCAGAGAAGATACAAATACAAGACTGGAAACTGTTCTTGTGCCCCATGTCTCAAGTAACCAGAAACTATATTTATACATCAACATGGCAACTTATCACAACAAAACAACAATTTTATATTTTTGGAAATCAAAAGAGGTATTTACATCTATAATTATATTGGCTATAAATAAAGTCAAAACATGAAAATGTTCTAAAAATCATTCTTTCGGATGGTGAGAAAGTGCATATAAATTGTGCATTATGAAGATCACACTGAAACTGAGTGGTTGGTCTGAAATTAAACAGCATCCATATGGAACATACAAATGGATTTGTGATAAACTCAAAATACTGTTGGCTAAAACTCAGTCTGAAGCTCCTTCTGTGCAATACATCTCACTTCATTTCATGCTTTAAATTAGATTTAATTTGAAATTATGTATTTTCAAATTATTGTTGTGGCTTACTGACAGGTATTATATATTAAGCGTATATAATTTGTCACATTTCATGTATGTACAATTTCTCCAGTTCTCTTGAATGTTACACATGCAAAATATAACAGAAGTATACAGAAAAGTCCAACTTATGAGACAGATGAAACAAATGATGCTGAGTAAGTTCAGAAGACCTGAAATTGGAATAACACAATTAATTTAAGAAAAAAGCATCATCAGAAGTTTGAAGGATAAATTTTGTAATAACAACAATCAACAATATGCCTGCAATCACTTCTTTTTGGCACAAACCATACAGGACTCAGTACATCCCTAAGAACTATCATGTTTCAAAACATTACATAGTGAGTGCCTCAGAATCAAGAAGACAGTATCTTGTCCTCAACTATTTGAACTTAGGGTCGTAAGAACACTATTCCATGGTTTTAGTTTAAACCAACTACATATTTCTGCACCAAACCATTTAACTGCAGTCCACTACATTAGACCAAAGTCACCATATTGTAAAGTTACTTACATTTGAGGAAATCATCCAATACTAAAAAGTTGAACACTTTCAGTTTTCTCTCCATCTATCCTCAATTCCAAAATATTGAAAATACACTTCTATGTGCATCCTTTGTCAAATGACAAACTCCATGAGGGCTCAGGGAACAAAAAATATTAGCTACATATTTTAAATTAGTTATTACCAACACTTTTCAGTTTAACCCTTTTACTATCACACTTTGCAAGTATTCACAAGTATTCTCTGCCAGATATATATAGAATGTTCCACAATATGATTTCCACAGTTAAAAGATGTGTTTTTGAGCTGTTTCAGCTGAAAAGGTCCACCCATTACGTAATTCAACAGCTCAGCCCAAATGGTTGACTTCACTGCATACACCAGGGACTTAATATACCCCCACAGACAATAGTGCAAAGGAGTTAGGTCAGACAACCTCTGTGGTCAGGTAATAGGACCCTGTCACAGCATTCAATAGTCTTGAAAATGATGAATAAGAAATGCAGCTATCTGCCTACCAAAATGTGGGATGGGGGGGGAGGGGGTTTCCCCCCTGCCATCTTGATGCAGCCACAGCTCTCACCTGATATTGAGAAGAACATCGGTCCATTCAAGGAAAGAGAGGCAGTGTTCTGATGTCAAGTGTGCTTCAAGTACAAACAGCATGAAGATGTGTTTTCATGGTTGCTTGAGGATTATAGAGCAACCAACAGGTAAATTTCACTGAATTAGTGATTCCATTTGTCAAATAAAGCCTCACTGATGAATAACATTTTCATGCAGAGCCGCTAGTTTCCCCAACAGCCAGCAGCAAAACATGTACTGTAATCAGTTGGCTGCATCTTGCATCTGGCTAGCATCAATTCGACCAGATATCCTTTGTATGCTAGTAGCTGGACTGTGTTCAATACTTTCAAGTATGTTGTCCTACAAATTTACACTGCAACATGTCTTGGTTGGGGGAATTTACCACCTTCTATAAGATTCTAGTGCACACTGTTAAAAACTTGCCAATCTGGTACTCTACATTCAGAAAACTGCCACTGGTGTTCCTCGACTGCTGCTTGTTCATTGCCACCATAATGTTTATAAATATAGCGAGTACTGGCATATTCTTCATTAGAAAAGGTGGTCATGCTACTGCTTGTTGACTTGAACATAAATGAATGATGCAGTGAGAGGAAAACTGAACTAATCACATAAAACCATAACTGGTTTGGCAGTACCGACAGCAGCATTCCCTCTATTGCAAAATAGTGGTGGGGATCCTCATGCACTCAGAACAACACCACCGCTTGAATCCATGCAGTTATGTCAGCAGTCTTTGACTTTCAGACATATGTTTATTGGACATTTTCAAATGGAACTGTGTTCAAAAACACATCTTTGAACTATGGACATCCTATTGCATGACATCTTGTATATTTTTTTTGCATATACTGATATAAACATTTTACATGCTATATGAATACCTTTAGTTAAATCCTTTTGATATAGTGGAACAAAATGTGCTATTATTACTTTTTAAATTATATTCTTCAAACCTGGTGATGAGTTCAAACAAAAAAACAAATACCATGACGTTAACATGACGTACAGATTGAACAAACTGAAAATGAATACATTAGTGGCTGGTATGGAGATATCTTACTTAGAGAATACAATCAGGGTTGGCAGTACAAGGGTTAAAAGAACATCCTCTGGAGCATTCAGTCTTAAGAGGACACACAAAGACACAGTCTCTTTCAATTACACACATGCAGAAATGTTCAGTTTCTCAAATGAATATTTGTACTTTTGAATTACACATTATGTAAGCTGGCACTGAACACTCCACATCAAGACAACATGAGCAAATCTGTTAATATACAAAACTGAATGATTGTCATATTCCATGAGCAGCCAGAACACAAACTTCTAATGTTCAGTGATTAAAAAAAAAGCTTGGTTATGAAAACAGTAACAAGAATCAGAAAACAACAATGGTGTCCCAGTGTGACTAAAGCAGCTACAAAGACTTCATAAATATGTGGAGTACAGACAGAAAAATTTAACCTTTTTGATTCAATGGGACAAACCTTTCTGATGTATTACATTCATGTAATGATGGAAGTGCAGATAATGTTTTAAAAATGGAATAGTTCTTAACTTCAAGAAGGAGAACATAAAACATTGTATGCTCCTTAGTGATCTAAACCAGTGGTTCCCAACAACAGTGTTACATTAGTTGGACCAAAATGTTTCACCATTGAAATCAAGTATTGGCAGTCTTTTCCCAATTCGTAATTCAGCTGTTGTTGTTGTTGTTATGCTTTGAGATGAGCAGACCATAATATATGAAATTTTTAATATCAATATTGTTCCTAGTTAAAATGATGACATGAAATTATATTTTTGATGGTGATCAGCACAGATCACCATCATGTCCTGGTGCTCCATGTACTGAAAAGGTATGGGAACTACTGGCCTAAACCACACTCTAAAATCTTATTACGAGAACAGACGGCTATACCAGGAGCATATAATACATCCTCTTAATCAATGGTTCCCAACACTTCTTACTTTATAGAAAATTCACCACAAAATATTAATATTTTAAAACACCAGTTTCTAACACTGTTTATCTTATTTTTAACTTTCAGTAAACCAGATAAATTTTTTTAATCACCAGTAGGTGCATGATACATATGTTACATAATAACTGATACTGTAACTGGAAATTAATATCAAACTAGAAAGTGTGA